TTACGTTCTTATTAGCCCACCATCATCTGATGGTGGGCTATTCAAATCGCCTTGCGTCTATTGCCCGTCCTTAAACAATTCTTGGTATCGATATTTACCAGGAAGTACCAGAGAAGTCTTTTTCAAATTTGTATATGTACATGTAGGTTCCCATTGGTCCCTAGTTGTGCATATTTACTTTTGAGACTGATCAGATAAACAACATAACCGACAGGCAGCTATCTTGGAATTTGATAGTGAAGGTTTGTTATGGCTTTTTCTCAGGAAGTATTAGAGAGATCTTGCCCATGGTCTGTAGCTGTGCATGTTCAATTTTGAGACTGTTCAGATTAACAAAATGGCCGAAAGGCCACCATCTTGGATTGTGACATTAAAGGTTTGTTATCGCTATTTCTCAAAAACGTGCATGAGGGATCTTTCCAAAATTTGTTATGAAGGCTCCCCTTGATCTGTAGATGTGCATGTTAAATTTCGAGAATGATCAGGAAAATAAAATGGCCGACAGGCAGTCATCTTGGATTTTTACAGTGAAGGTTTGTTATCGCTATTTCTTAGGAAGCATTGGGGGGATCTTTTCCAAATTTTATATGAAGGTTCCCCCTGCGTCACTATTTGTGCATTTTTACTTTTGAGACTGATCAGAACTTGAATTTTGACAGTAAATGTTTGTGATGGCTATTTCTCAATAAGGACTGGAGGGATATTTCTCAAATTTGATATGTAGCTTCCCCTTGGTTTGTAGTTGTGCATGTTTTCTTATGATTTTGCCTTTGATTTTGACAGTTAAGGTGTGTTAGTGCTATTTCCAAGGAAGCATTGGAGGGTTCTTTCTCAAATTTGATATGCAGGTTCCCCACTGTCCTGTATAGTTCATTTTAACTTTTGAAACTGATCAGATGAACAAAATGGCCGACTATCGTCCATCTTCGATTTTTGATATTTAGTGTTATTTCTCAGGAATGACTTTAGGGACCTTTCTCAAATTTGATATGTAGATTTCCATTGATCCCTCATTGTGCATGTTATATTTTGAGACTGATCATAAAAACAAAATGTCCGAAGGAAGAACTAAACAGATCTGTTTCATATTACAATGATCGGTTCTATTTCTTTCACATTAAGTACTGTTATGTACATGTAATATGTACTCATGGGCCGTCAGGCCTAAAGTCAATAAATTGAATTGAATTGAATTGAGTACTGGAGAGAACTTAATTAAATATAATTGATATTCTAAAAACGAAAACAGACCTTAATACCATTGCTGCTGCTGACCGTAATTTTGACTTACATTTACATACACTTTGCACTCATGCATCAAAGTAAATGACCAAATTCTAAAATGTATTTACATATTTCCCTTCTTTAGCTTAGTAAAATCTGACTGCGTATAAATTAGCGTATACGCAATGGAAAAAGGCTTGACGGATTAATGCCTGTTTCAAACATGGCGCCGTTCACGCTTCAGATTTAGAAACATGGAACATATTCGGCATCCATTATGCCTGTTTGTACACAAAAAAAGGGAAATTGACAAACCTCTTATTCCACGGAAGCACATTTAAAGTTATTTGACGGCGAAGTAAGCAATGGCTGCATCCTAATGCGTATACATAACGACCGTTATAAATGAACGAAATATTCGAAGTGCTACTAATATTACTTAATTAGACATTTAAAAGCGACGAAAAGAAAACTTGAGCAAAGGAGCGCTTTGCATGGAGACCAATGAAAAAGTACAAGGAGAACAAGACCAGAGTTAGATGAGATATTCATGAAATCGTTCTCATGCTCAAGCATGGACACTGTGCTTAAAACAACTTTTTGTAACTAGCTTAAATCCTGCCAAACGATCAAAAAGTCAAATGTAAACATAGAAAACAGTATTCGGCTTAAAGTCTCTTCAATGTTTTTTTCCAAATCATTGACAAAATGACACTTTATTTATAAATTTATAACGGGAACAAGAAATTCTGCTCGAGCACAAAATCAATGCTTTAGCATTTGAACGGTTTCATGAATACGGGCCCAGATGTAGCGAAAGGGTTAGAGTCTTCGGCTTCATTTACGACATTTGCCGTGTACCCTAAGGATATACAATTAATGTCATGTCCTTATAGTGGGAACCGGAGTACATGTAATGATAACCAAGCAACAAGGTACATCTACTAAAATATATCGGTCTTCATATCACACAAAGAAATAGCATATTTCTCAATGATTTAAGGAGGTATATACGATCGACATGGTCGATAAGTATCTTTCTATTCAAAAAATGTACATCGTCGATATATCGGATACGGAATAGAGGAAATTGGCAAGGCGTTTTGTTTCCAGTTCTCATACGCTCTTCAATCAATTCAGTCTCAAATGAAAACAAAAACAAGTCAACCAAATGCTACGTAGGAAAATCTTGCCATCGACCTCAACAAGGAACTCAATGTTTATTTCAATATCAATTTTCGCTATATTTTGAGGATGGTAAAAGTGATCAGATGATGTGTTGATTTTTTCAAAATCTACTTTCCACATTTCATTAATTCCACTTTAAGAGTATATCCAGTCTCATAAACCTTTCTACTGTGAATAACTGAAACACTCTTGTTGGTTCTATAAATAACTGACACTCTCTTGTTGGTTCTATAAATAACTGAAACTCTCTTGTTGGTTCTATAAATAACTGGACTGGAACTCCCTTGTTGATTATATGAATAACTGGAACTCTCTTGTTGGTTCTAGAAATAACTGAAACTCTTTTGTTAATTCTATAAATAACTGCAACTCCCTTGTTGATTCTATAAATAACTGGAACTCTCTTGATGATTCTATAAATAACTAGAACTCCCTTGTTGATTATATGAATAACTTGAACTCCCTTGTTGATTCCATATGTAACTGCAACTCCCTTGCTGATTCTATATATAACTGCAACTCCCTTGCTGATTCTATAAATAACTGCAACTCCCTTGCTGATTCTATAAATAACTGCAACGCCCTTGTTGATTCTATAAATAACTGCAACTCCCTTGTTGATTCTATGAAAAATAACTATAGTTCAATTCGACTGGGACTACATCTTAAACAGTTGGTAATTTATTAAGTTTGCCAAAATTGAATTGCACTTCACCATACAGCTGTTTCGTCTTTCTAGGGTTCACTGCTGATGTTACGGAACAAAAAAAGTAGAAATCCAAAATAGTCTTATCTGCAATAGACATACATTTAGAAGGGGATCTGCGTAAAACCCCCTCATAACGCATTTTCAAAAACTGGAGTGAAACTTCAAATTCATACCAAGTCATTACTCTTATGAGATAACTGTGGCTGTCAAAGTTACGGCAAGCCTCGGGGACTGAGAAATCCACCAGCAGAGTCTACGGAACTTGTGTCTTAAAAGATGAACCTTAGACACACACTAGATATCACATCATATCTGAATACAATCTAATAGGATATGTTAATCTTCATGTTTTATTACATAGTATTGTTGGTATATAGTATGTCAAATAAATCTGCTGCACCCATTGCAATATTAGGGATCTTTATATTTCTCTCTACTTCTAACCACATACCAAAGTCCTTAAAAATGGAATGCTGTGCTGGGAACTGTCGGCATGGTATTTCAGTGAGAAAGACATATACAGTCGGCTTCAGATCCGCGCTATTACAAGGAGGCAAGTACACCAATCCTGTTTCCGGCACAAATAAACACATCCACATTTACACAACACACATGGAGGCATGCCCCTAAATGACCTTACCTGTTTATATGAAGCTAAAAAAAATAAAACCAAACCAAAACCAATGAGACTAACATATACTCAATCACACTTCTGTCTAGAAAATCCATGTGATTTTCTGTCGATTGGTAATATTTTATAACACTGTTTACCTTTACAAGTTCTACACTAACCAAATATAATACCACACCTTAGCAGTTGTCATGTACAACCCATTAATTTTAGGTCATATTTTATTTACTATGTACTTATCATAATTTGCCCAACTGTTGGTATGGATTTCTAACTACATAACAAGTATGAATGACGGTATGATAGAGAGAGGGTGTGGTCTTCGTGTACGATAAACTTGCTGCTTCTCTTCCTCGTCTTACGCATGTAAAACAATGAATTAATGATAAAAATGATAACTATACCGGATGCTCATTGGAAAACTGATATAAAGATACAACCTGTTGTCTTATCATAGGTTTGTTTATCACCGTATTACCCGTTATACTGCTGTGTAAACAATTTTTCAAAAACAAGTATCTTCTATATATATTTATATTTATATAAGTTACAAGGAAGTGAAATACTTTTATGTATATTTGTTTTGACAATGAATTGTTGAACTTAAAAATAGCAATTATTTTATATCTTGAACGTGAATTATGTTTGCTGTCTGTAAAACCCGTATTTTCATCCCATTAAATCACCAGGAGCAGGTTTTGTATTCCTGTCTAGGGAGAGAGATGAGGATGGTTGTTCGTCGAGATGTAATTTATATTCTCACACAGAGTAAACTTAACGTCCACGCCGGCCAAACGTGTCTTGATTTAAAGAGAAGCAGATCTCGTTAACCTGTTGATTATATCACTGTGAGGGAAATCTGGCAATAATGTGTATATTGTTTAAAAAAATACATGAACTGTATTCTCTCGAAAAAGGTACTGCATTAAATCGACTATTAATATCGACTCTCAAATCAATATGCCCTGATGTATAGTTTGTTTTGGAATTTCCTTTATTGAAAATGGTTTTGTACAACGAAAATCATTATGCTTCAATCCACGTTACCGCAGTTTCTTCCTTGTTTATTTCACAACAAGATGTGATGCTAATTTTTAAGTTCACAAAAGACAGAAAACTGTTTCGAAAACAAACGATAACTTCAAACTGACTTAAAACATTTAGGTGTCGGTGCTTCATAGTGGGTGTGAAGATTTGGCGCATTTAGTTTCACGTCGGAAAATGGAAGTCGGAGTCCGATTTATTTATTATAACAATTTACAACTTCCTGTCATTAGAAAGTAATAGTTAAAATTTAATATTCTATGTACTATGCATTCAATAGATCCTTTCGACTGGACAGAAGGTCTGGAATCGATAGCCATATACAGTAGTGAAAAAACACTGATACAAGACAAGAAAACAAGCAAGGTACGTATGCGTCAGAACTAACATCAGGTGTGCACTGTTAAAGATCCGGATTTATAATATGCAAAACGAACCGCAATAATCGCAATGCATTTTGTGATTTAAGCTTAAAATATAACTTCCATTGCTGTGGCTAAACTGTTTGAATTAATTTCTGCAAAAGAATGGACACATTATACATATTTGAGTGAAGGGCCCGAAAAAAAATAAAAACTGTCAATGCTCGATATCTTGAATCAATCTAATCAAAATCATATCTTCACATCGCTTCCGTTTACTGATATGTCGGGTTGAAGTGACATATCAGTAAACGGGAGCGATGTGAAGATATAATTTTAATTAGATTGATCTTGAATGTAATTATCACCAAACTGAAAGTAAAATATACTTATTAATGCCAGTTTATTTACAATGCATGCTTTTGTGATTGGTTTCTTACAATTTCGACACTGTGTGTCGGCTACAAAATTGTTATTTAAAATGATGGTCCAGTTTTAGTTCATATTTGAAGTTAGAAAAACGGATTTTTTTTATCGAATTAGTCTTGTAATATCCTTTGATCATCGATCAATGGAATCGGTGTAGTACATTTACGGGTGAATAGAATTTGACGTTATTTCGCATTGGCCGAGGGAATTTCATGTCATATAAATAAAGAATGTGACATTTCCTGCGGGACTCAAAATGGGAAACATGAGATGATCTTTAAAAACCATACTCCTTTGAAACGCGAGAGAAAAGATTTGGATTGAATTTGTTCTCGATCATCTTGTAATGTATTAGCATTTTATAAATTAAGGATGTGACTTCCCTTTGGACCAGAGGGGCAGGGTTTAATTTGGCGGTATGACAGATATTTCAACTTCTTACCTAATACTAAGGAAACATTTACAAAAATTGTTACAAAATGACCAAAGGATGTGTCGCGTAGCGAGCTGGTTCTTTCAGGCTGAATTGAAATCCAAAATGTCTGCTTTGTTCCCTGGTTAACTTCGACAATTTCAATTTCTTTCCGATTTCGACAAAATTATGCACAAATATTTTCCCTTGGTCCTAAGATTTGTTATTTTTCTAACCAATTCAAATTCAAATAAGCCGAGAAGATTTCAGGTTTTTTTCAACTTACATTAGGCAGGGACATTATACGTCCCTGCATTAGGTCAATGGTAACCTCAAGTAATTAATATAAAGCTTTCATGGTTCTGATGTTCTTATTTATTGGTTTGATTCGAAACCCAATATGGATCCCCCTGTCATCTGATAAGCCAACACAATTTTACTAATTCGCATTCCACGTATGATTGTATCCAAACATTCCAATGTTCCTGCCATTACTCTTCCACTTGCTTTGACCAGTTAGAAATCTGAGGTGGTCGTTATGGTCTAAACTATTCGAAAACATCTCGGCGCTTTTTCTGCATCAAGTAGCAAAATAAATAATTGAGAAATACGGGCCCTGTGGTACTCTTTTTATGTCGAGAAATTGAGTTCCCATAACTTTAATCATTCAGCAGATGACGTACTCAGGTCATATAATAGACGTAACACCTAGTCACCGAGTGAAACTATGTGCTTGATTTAGTATTAAAAGCATATCAAATGACAAGTAAAGCATCACTGGGTAGATGAATGAATCTTTTTTAATGCAATATCACCCATCAGTTCTATTGTTATTGAGTTTGTATACGTGGGTGGAATTGATATATAAAGCAATTTAGTTTGAATATGTTGAAAAATTAACCAGGTATATCTCTGGCGATTTCCGCATCGCGTCAGCTACAGGATGCGGTTCACACCAGTTTACGGCGGTGGGCGTGATCAGTGATAACTGTCAATTTAAAGGGAGTGAACAATCTATTTATATCTTAGCGGAAGTTCTATTTTGCTATCCCTTTGCTATTAATAAAACGAAACTCTCATTTAAATTGAGCCAGAAGTTATTACTGGTGTCAAGCTACATTTATCTGATTCCTGGTCCTACGGGATTTACGTATTTGTAACAATGCAACATTATAGTTTATCATGATTTTACCAAGGTTTCGGGAAACCAGCAAAATAGAATATAATACACGTAAAGGGGATTACCAACACATTTGGAAACCTCAGCTATCGTCGTTGCTGAAGATAACCATTTCTCGCACCTCAGACCTCTTTAATGAATGTATGTATTGTATGCACTTCCACTTACGTTACCTCGCTATTCCCATATTCATAGTCCGTTCCAAATGTCCACTTTGACCACTTGAATTGTTCGGGAAAGCCCTGCTAAAAATAGCGCCGAAAACGTCACCTGACTATATAGGCGGTCTGAGCGAGATGAAACGGTTTCCAGAGGGGCCCCCAGAGAGGGCCGTCAGGCAACTGCAACTTCTTACCGCGCTATGAAACCAAGTACTATGATTTTTAAGTCCGTATTCAAACTTATTGAACAGTAATCATTCATCATCAGAAGGTAATTGCACGCTTGCCAATATTCAAAATTTAAATGTATTTAGCTTTAAACATATTTGTTGCCAATAAAATTGAACAAGGGATGGGGCACAAGTTTTTACAATTGATCACAGCCTTCTCCCGTCATACATTTACAATTAAATGTCAACAATGATAATAGGCATAAACATAAAGTAGATATTTATAAATATATATTAAATTTAGTACCGGAATGTGACCGGTACAGATGGTACGGGGTTGAACACCTTCCCTACACCAAGGAACAAACCTTTCTGGTTTTTTTTATATATATTCATATTAGTACTGATTTAAATCTTGCATGTAAAAACAAAAGTAATCGTTTAATTCAGCAATATAATTAAATTATACCATGTTACTGAACCCGGTAATATTATAAATTATGTAAATCTAATAGCGCACGTATCTCGATGACCCAGAAAATACGCCGTGGGCCATCACAACAGATATCCCTTGGAGGGCCTCATGGCAAAATCAAACTAACCAGTCACTTATCCCTTCCTTTCGCATAAACCACTGTATAATTATAGAAACACAATGTAAATTCTCTCCAATACATGCCCATTAACATATTAAACTAAGTTCATCTGTGTTCAAACTCAGACAAAGATACAAGCGAGCTTAATAGTTTTAGATATTTATTCATAACATAAACAGTGCTAGCATTTCTGTCGATTCCATTTCAGCTTAACCGGCAATCCGGAAGAATTCATGCACCGTACTAACTGCTAGGGCAGTTATTTTCTCCTTTGAATACTGCCCACCTGCAATAATGATTCCGTAACGTACTCCTTGCGCTATCTTTTGACCATTTGGCAACTTTTCGTTTCGTAGCTGACACGGTACAACACTTTTCTTTCGCTTACTTCACACGGCCAGTCATTTTGTTTACAAAGAAATGGTGTGCTATGCGCATGCGCTAGTAGAGGGAAATCCCTGAACAAAACGTTGGTCAGACAGGTAGAAATACCGATGATTTTCTTAGATTTAATCATTTTTATGATTCTATTTCAGCTAAATCCGATCGTTATTTTCCATAAGGAGTCTCACTTGATATGTTTATGTAGTATTTGAAAAAAAGACAAAAAAATAAAATTACTTCACCGTGATGCCCATTTAACTGCTTGAAATTGACAATTTGCATTATAAATGTTCTGTTTTGTCGTTATTGTATAGTTTTGATGTTGTAAGATATTTGATGATGTAGATAAAATATAATCAACACTGCAAAATACGTTGTTATCTATGTAAGGACGGACTTCGTTTTTATGCGGAAGCATTCAAATGTAGCTGAGGTAGTGAAGAGGTCATTATCAATTGAGGCCCAAGGCGGGATACTTGTAGTTTTTAGCAAAATTGAATAGGGTGGTTTTTTTAACTAAAAGGTGCGAGAAAAAAAAATCAATTACCTGTAACTGAGCAAGATCGGGATATCTCAGTCTCGGGCTAAGATTATGTAACAGAATCTTAACAGAATCTTAACCCTCGACTGAGATAACCCGATCTCGCTCAGTTACAGGTAATAGATTTTATTAATACGATTAACGCGTTAAAATTAATTCTTTTAACGATTGAAATGCGTGCGTGCGTGCGTGCGTGCGTATTAAGCTTGTTTCTGACAATGATGACATTTCATAGGGTTCTGACTACGGAAGTGTCCACGTCAGCTGTCATCGGATACCCTCCACGTGTCCCTAGTGTTTATGAATTGACATTAAAACTATCATCAGTTTATCTGTGGGGAGAAAAAACGGTAGTTGAACGTATATACTAAGGCCTACTAAATCAATATTATTTGATCGGTGTTTAATGTTGGTCTTGGGTTCACCTGGTTCCGAAGCTTCTTTTGTAACTGGCCTTTTAAGCATCATATTGACTTAATCAATGTGTCATGGCATGGAATTCAGCAGTGGTTGCTCGACTGAACGGGTGAGAATGTATCATCTAAATAGATCTAAGGACCAATTGGCAAAATAGCCGAACGGAAATGAAATTTACAAAATTTTAAGTTTTGGTAAGTTTCTGTATTTTATATATATCTTTATCATGAAATCATTCTACACATTAAATAGGTTAACATTATTTTTTCAATTAATACCAAGACTGATGCATGCATTTAGATTTGTGCTACCTTTCCTACTTAGATAACAAATCGCACTACTGGAATTGGGATTATTAGTAAAATGTTTTTAGCGATCTGTTCTCGATTATCCTAGGCTAGACACACTGACCGAGTGAAAATTTCCGCGCCATGTTTATTTTGCTTGACACGAATGATTTAAATACCCGAAATAACTCCTTCGAGAAATAAAAATAAGACAATAGTACATGTAGGAATGTACTTTATTTCTATTTACATAATAGTTAAAGTTTATTTAGTGTTCATGACATCAATTTCCCTTTGTAATTCTGAAACCCTTATAATGATATCTCACCAGTTCCATATCTTCCTATAGTAGACATACTTCATAAAACATTGTGTAACAAGGACTTTTGGAAAGGATTCATAATGATATTCTACTTGTGAAAGCATA